GATGGCACCACTGGGCACCTGGGGGCGCTGTGGCTCCGTGGTGAGCTGCTGATCGCCTTGTAGGAGCTGCAGGGTGAGGGGAGTCTGGGCAGGGGGAGCGTCTTTGGAGAACCAGGGGACTAAGGGGTTAAATGTGGTCTCTGCATCCACCGCCAGGCTCTGCAGGTGTCCTTCCCACAGAAGGGAGTGAACCCTGGAACCTCTTTTGGTCCTACTTGAGGGGCCTGGCAGGAAGCCCAGATGCCAGGCCAGGTGCAAGCGGTCAACCGTCTCAGAGAAAGACCAGAGCCGTGCGGGATGGCCACTGCCCGAGCCTGCCCAGCCAACCTGCCCACTGACCCTCCAGAAGCCCAGGAGCTGGACCAGGGGAGCACCTGTGGTCCGCGGCCTGTGCTGTCTGGAGGGCACAGGGGTGCTTGTGGTTCTGTGGACGGTGACGTCAGCATCATCACTGGGGTGCTGTAGGAGGAGAGAGCAGGACACAAAGCCTGCTCCTCAGAAGCCCTGAGCAGAGATGGCCACCCCTGTCCTGTCCTGCCCCACGCCGGGCGCCGGGCTCCTCTGCTGGGTGGCCCTCAGTCTCCTGGGGGCCGGTGAGTCCTGATGGGGGGCAGGACCTCCCTGAATTCAGAGGTCTCAATTGCTACTGAGTGTCAGGGTCTGTGTGAACCAGAACACCAATGTTTCCCTGCCCTACAGGCCTGCTGGATGCTGGTGTCATCCAGTTCCCAGGACACCTCATTGCAAGAAAGGGGGACCATGCCACTCTGCGATGCCAACCCGACTCCGGACACCGCAGTGTGTTCTGGTACCAGCGTGCCCTCGGCCAGGGACCCCACTTCCTTGTTGAGTATTTTGAAAAGATGGAGCGAAACAAAGGGGACATCCCGAACCGGTTCTCAGGGCAACAGTTCTCGGACTACAGCTCGGAGCTGAACCTGAGCGCGCTGGAGCTGGGGGACACGGCCACGTTCCTCTGTGCCAGCAGCATCGACACAGCCCTGCAGGGCCCCCTCACACCTGCACCTAAACCTCCTGTACCCACTGGGGATGTGAGAGGAGAGCAGAGGGGGGTGCCCAGTGCCAGCCCAGCACCCACGCTTGCTGTCCTCCTGCAGCGACCTCGTCCACAGTCCACCGAGCTTCCTGACCCTCAATCACTCTGCTTCCCTCTCCCAGTGCTCTCTCCAGCCCGGCAGAGGATGTGACCGCTGCCCGTGAAGAGCGCTGATACACAAGGAAGGACAGTATTGTGTCCACTCAACCCTGGTGCTGCCATGGTTAAAGCAGATCAGCCTTCCCCCAGCAGCTCCATGGGAGACAGATAAGGCAGTCTGCTTCTGTGACAGTTTGTCTGGTGCCATACACCTTGACTCCCACCCGTGCTGAGCGTGGGTCTGCCCCTGCCCTGTCCTCGGAGCTGCTGGGCTAACGCTATGGCCAAGTCACATCGGGCCAGCTCCATATGTGAGCTCGTGTCTGCCCCTGCCCCGTTCCCGGCCCCCACTAGGCTAACGCCATGGTCACGGTCACCACATCAGGTCAGCTCCTCAAGGCTGGCGCAGGTCTGTCCCTGCCCCGTCATCCCAAAGAAGGGAAGGCCCAGCGGGGAGGGTGCAAGAGTGAACATGGTGGGCTGCCCTGTGAACCCAGGGAGACCAGCTGAGTGTGACCAACAGCCCCAGACCCCAGAGCTCCCGAGGCCAGGCTGGTTCCTCTGCCTCAGGGCACTGCAGGCTGCACCAGAGACCCAAGTGTGGGTGTAGAGAGGAAGGAGGAAGAGGGGCCTGGAGGAGAATTTTGATCCAATGAGTCATCAAGGCACCAGCATGGCTGAGGATCCCCCTGCCCCCCATGTGAGCACAGTGACAGCATCTGGCTGCCGTCGGTGCATCGGCTGTGGCTCGTGGACACCCGAGTGTGCAGAGTACACCTGCTCCAGGGGGCTTCAGGCTGAGGCCTTTCAGAAGCAGATTGCCAGGCCTTTCTTCTGAGGAGCCTCCACGTGGGTGAGAACTGCCCAGCTTGAGGCCAGCCACCAAGTGCTCAGTCACCGGAGGGGCCCGGGGATGGGACTGAAACACAGGCATCCCAACCAAAGCCCACTGCCCAGACTTGAACCTCCCAATGATGCTGTAGTCCAGAGCTCACGGGATTCCCAGGACTATGATCCTTATGGGAGCAGGATGCCATGTCTTATCCCGGGAGCAGCGGTTTCAAACTACTAACCTTTTGGTTAGCTGCTGAATGCTAAACTACTTCACCACCAGGGCTTTTGTTATCAAGATTTGAGCGAAAATTTACAAAACGTGCCTTTTCCGTTGAACCATGCATACTGGTTTTGTTTTATAACAATCACAATACACACGATGGGACCACACTTTTCCCACTTTATCCCTGTAGTTCTGATTTCCACTAATCCTTCTACCCTACCCCTTCCTGCCTTCAGGGCTTTAATCTTGGTTAAACTACCCAAGCTCCTTTATTATGCATATAAGGGAGCAAATCTCCTCCTAAAAGTTAGGGGCAAATATGCCAGCAAATTTCTTACAGATGCTTCCATTCTGAGCAGGTGAACTGTTCACCTCTCCCTGCTGTGTTCCTGTGGGGAGGGAGGGCTGTCCAGCTGCATGGCCCACTGCCTATGGGGTATCAGCAAACATGAGGCCCTGCCCTGCCCTGCCCTGCCCTGGGGGGCTCCAGGCTTCTCCCCTGAGGCTCCTTGTAAATGAGGTCCTGCCCTGGCACCCCCCCTCCCTTCTCTGTAGCCCTTTGTAAATGAGGTCCTGACCTGGACACCCGCCACCCCCATCCTTCTCTGTGGCCTTTTGTGCCCTGAGGGCAGATGAGGCTCCTTCCCAGGAACCCTGAGGCCTCAGCACAAGGTTTCTCTCCACGTGCACCCCTGACCTGCCCGGTTGCCATGGACTCCAAGTTCCTCCATTGTGTGGCCTTCAGTCTTGAGGGAGGCAGGGGAGTCCCCACTCACCACAATCCCCCAGGGGTTCCCTGCTGACCCCTGCCATCTTTCCCCATTTCTGTTCTCACAGCCTCTATTTTCCCTGCAGGCGCTCAGAGGCTGGAGTCCCCCAGAGCCCCAGACACGAGGTTATAGGGGACAGATAGGCAGTGGCTCTGTGGTGGGATCATACGTCTGGCCGCAATCCCTTCATGGACAGACAGACTGCAGGGAGAGGGCCCAGAGCTTCTGGTTCAAGGTGAGCACAAGGCTGCCCTGGACAGTGCGCATTCCCAGCTGCCGAAGAATGGACTCCACCCCGAGGATCCAGCCCACGGAGCCCGGGCGCTCGGCCACGTACGCTGTGCCGGCAGCTAAGCCACAGTGTTCTGTCTCCCCTCTTCCTGAGCACAAAACATGGATGCCTCTCTGCTCAGACCACAGCAGCCGATGGGAAGAGGGTTTGCCAGCCTGTGCTTCAATTCACCTAAAGGTGTGGACTGTTCTTTAAAACGTGAGGGCTGCAAACGCCTTGTGGGGCCGTCGTGACCCAGGGCTTTGAGGGAGAACTCAGGACAACTCCAGAATCTGGAACCGGTGACGCTTGTTGTCCTCGGACACCGTGTGATCACTAATGCATGCAATGAGCTGTGACCCTCCCAGCCGTGGTTCCAACCACGCGCGACAGCGTAGCCAGCAGCCTTCTCTCCCCGGGCGATGCTCCCACCTCCTGGGCATCCTGAGTTAGAATCCTGGCGGCCGCCTCCACTGTTTGCCTTCTCCTAGGTCTTTGCATTGGAAGTTTTCAGCCACAAAGAGTTAGAGCACAGCTTGTGTTTGGGAGTGTTTCCCGGCTTTGGTGGAGGCATGTTCACGATGGAGAACACCACTGTGGCGGTGACTCTTTCACCAGCATCCAAATATACACACAGAGGGTGTTCTGACACCCACAAAAATATCACAGCTCACAATGGACCCAGTGCCCCCAAAGGGGTCTTGCTCTTCAGTGTGTCAAGAATGTTAATAAGAAAAGCACAATGAAACACCAGAACTTCATAAAAGAGTAATGCCTGCATTTTAAGAATCTGTTTGCTATGGCTGAAGGTGGGTAAGATGCTGGTGCAGTGCTCCAACCTGCACAAAGGGGAGGGAGGTTTTGTACAGGGGGCTGGTGTACATGCGAGTCACGGTTAAGTCTTGAGTAAAGTCACACGCTTTCTCATCAAGCAATTCCCCTGAGTCCCAATCCCATATAAAGCATTTAAGGGGAAATGTCGTCATTCACTTCTGGAATATTCCTGTCACTTGTTTGATCAGAAGCCCTAACTTTGTCTCCCAGAGTCCTTTCTGAGGACAAAAACATCCTCATCAGAGTGTCCAGTAGCATTAGGAGCTTCACGCACGTGTAGGCTCGGGCCAGTCCAGGGACTGTTGGGGGCGTATCCAGCTGACAGTCTGGGCACTAAAGGGGTCCTCGGTAAGAAGCTCCGAGGCGGCCAATTGCCCAGATGGGTGTGGACGGCGCTGCTGTGGCCCGTACAGTTTCCACTGAGTTTTGGGCAGCAGATTCCAGCTCTTTTTTCTCACTCCGTCTTGGGCTGGATGCTCCTCTGAGCCTATTTGGCGTCACAGCCACCTGTGAGCATCTAAAGCTAAGAGCGAGGCTGCGTTGAGATGTGTTGGCCACAGTCACCTTGAAGATCCTCCCTAGACTGTAGAAATCAGGGGTGGGGGGAATGAAAACCAGCGCATTGATGAGGAATTGTTTCATAATGGGAATAAAATACGCATAGAGGAACGGAGCACCTTTCTAAAAGTCAGGAATTACATGCACACAGAAAAATTTCTCTCCAAATGGAGCTACAGAGGTTCTCAAGCTGAGCTCTTGAACTTGACCTCTAGAACTGACTTAGTCCTGTGGGGAGGGGAGGAGCCATCTGTCTTCATAGCCCAGACACCTATGGGGACGGTGAGGTCACAGTCTTCACCAAGTCTGTTTGCTATGACAGCTGACAGACATGAGGTTCTGCCCAGGGTTGGAATGGGGTCCAGGCTCCTCTTTTCTGTGGCCCTCTGTACCCTGTGGACAGGTGAGTGATTGTCCCAAGTCTGCCTCCTTCCCCGGACCTCCATGGCCTCAGGATAAGCTCTCCTCCTGGGTTCACAGCCTGAAACTCTGCTGCTTTCTGTCACAGGGCACATGGATGCTAGTGTCACCCAGACCCCGAGGCACAAGATCACAAAGACAGGAAGGAAGGTGACCCTGCAGTGTACCCAGGACATGAGCCACAACTACATGTATTGGTACCAACAGAACCCGGGCCTGGGACTGCAGCTGTTGCATTATTCAGTGGGCGCTGGTATCCTCGAGAAAGGCGACCTCCCTGATGGATACAATGTCTCCAGACCAAAGACAGAGCATTTCTCTCTCACGCTGGCATCCGCTGTCCCCTCGCAGACAGCTGTGTACTTCTGTGCGAGCAGTATTTCCACAGCCCTGAACAGTCATTGCAGAACCACACAAAAAGAGCTGAGGAGGGGCCGAGGCTGCTCTGTGCTCACAGCATGGCTCAGCTCCAGGAAGGTGGCCTGCAGAAGTCCTCAAGCCCCAGGGTCTCCAGGGACTGCCCAGCTCTGCCTTTGTGCACTAGGCTCCAGGAAGGTGGCCTGCCAAAGTCCTCAAGCATCAAGGTCTCCGTGACGGCCCAGCTCTGCATCTTTGTGCACTAAAATAGACTTTGGTAAGAACCTCTGACATAGACTAACATCCACCTGACACAAGCCATGGTCTTCTCAGTCACCTCCTATGTGTGTGAGGTGAACGGTAAAAAAGGATGACAAGAAAAATTGACGCATTTGACTGTGAAGCCTGGGAAGGATTTGGAATGTACTGCCATCTTCCAGAAGATTGAATGTGACTTTGTTAGAAGGTATACAACCGAATGGCCCTGAGGAGCGAGGACGGTGAAACCTTGACCCATTTCCTTAGAGCGTGTCGTCAGGGAAGACCTCTAATCACAATTAAGAAAAGTCCCAGTGCTAGAAAAAGGCAAAGTTGAAGGTCAGCAAAAGTGAGAAGATTCCCTCAAACAATGACTGACAAAATAGACCCGAACATGGACGCAAGCCTCGTGGTGGTCATGAACTGACAGTGCAGGAGCGGACAACACGTCTCTGGTTACACACAAGTCAGAGCCACGTCCACCAGGGGCAAGAACACCACAGCAGAGAACTAATCGACCTACCTGAGCAACCACTTCCACAGACAATACACTTTGTTTTCATGTCCCTTACTCCGCCCACCCCCCCTTGCCTAGATTCTCTCAGACAACACTAGAAGTCATTGAAAGCATTGGTATTACTTGGCAGGAGTTTACTGGAAATCCCTTGAGGGCACTGTCAGTGTCCCTCCATCCCTCCTGGCCACACGTTGCTTCTTCACCACCGAGGCTACAAGCCATCACCCACTGCACAGTGCAGCTCCAGTGCTCGGAACGCCACGCACCTCACTTGTCTGAAAAGGCCTCAAGGCCTGAGAAGTACAAAAATTCGTCACCTTGTTGATGGAATTTTTGTTTACTTTCTTCACAATCTGCTACATCAATTTTATATCTAATTACCAGTCATTAGCCTGAGATACCTCCCAAGATATCTTTTCTGCCTTTGAAACAGCAGCACGGCTATTTTAGATCCGCCTGGTGATGCTGACACCGGCCGTGTTTGGGCTGTTTTGTAGATTTGCTTCTCCTGCTGCCCCGCGTGGTGTTTGTCTCTTTTATGAGCCAGACCCTCTCTGGTTTTGTACAACACCCCTGATTTGCAGAAACAGCTTCTGGTCTAGGCTGGGGGCATCTTCCTCTGGAGAGGATTTTCCTCCAGTTTCTGACTAGTGTCTGGGGTGGAGGCATAACCACCTAGGGCATCAGAGGCAGAGCGCCAGGATGTAGGTGCCCTGGACCGTCTAGAGAACAGGACCGCCTCTGGTTCCTCGGAGGATGCTGCTTCAGTTTCCAGCCAGGCCACCTCATGCACAGCCACTTCTCTGTCAGGGCAGGCTTGTACGTCGCCATGATTCCTAACAGGTGTAAACAGAGCTCCCAGAATAAGACGACCTGAGAAGAACCCGGTGGTCTACATGAGAAAACGTGCATCACAGCTGTCTAACCCACAAGCCTTCAGGCGAAGGGTGCCACATCAGAGTCTAATCCACAACCCACTGTGTGGCTGGTGCCACATCAGGGTCTAATCCACAGCCCACGGTCCATCATGCAGACGGTGCCGCCTTGGGTGGTGTTTTGTGTCATGCGTGGAGTTACCAAGAGAGGTTCAGTGATGGCAGTTAGCAACAACACGGCCTGAAGAATCTCAGTACGAATTCGAGTCCTTCGCTAGAACCTCACAGTCAGTGCATTCTGACCTTACCCCTATCCAGTAGACCATTTCCTACAGGAAAAGCAGGACTGACAAATGCCCGCAGGACTCTTGCTTCTCCAAATCCCAGCCCAGTGATTCTTCACTGTTCTGGTCAGAATTTTCCTAGGGTTTTTGGGCTCTTGCCTTCTCCAAATCCCAGCCCAGTACTTCCTCACTGAGTGGTCAGATTTTTCCTAGGGTTTTTGATGGCCTGTTATTTCAGAAATGAATGGTCAGTCTTAATATCTTAGTCTGGAAACTCTGCTGAAACCGGTCCTCCATGAGTGGTCCTGCTAGCACTTGAAATGCCAGTGACATAATTTCCAGCATCACGGCAACATGATGCCACCAGACTGAGGCAAACTGACAGACGTATGATCACGTCACCATGCACGCCCTGGAGGGGGCCTCGTCACCATCCTGCCTTACGCAGAAGATCCAACCTTCCTAATAGACATGAACCTCCCCTTACTGCAGAAAGTCAAAGACTACAGCCTTCAAGGTGGATTACATCTCAACGTCAAGAAAACAAACATCCTCACCGCCAGACCAACAGCCAAAAGAGAGATGGAGAAAATAATTGAATTGTGAACGATCTCATATTACTTGAGTCCTCAATTATTATCCACAATTGTTGTTGTTGTTGTTGTTGTTGTTGATTGCCATCGAGTCAAGGTCAACTCGTAGCGACTCTATGAACAAAAGACCTAAGGCCTTTCCATAGCTATCATTGTTTCTCCAAGTTCATAGAGTTTCCAGAGGCATGTGGTTTAGGAAGTAGATACCATTCCTGCTTCCAAACCTGGTTTACAACTGGGAGCTCCACCAAACACTGTCCACATTGGGAAGCCATTCTGGTATTTGATACCCCAATGGCACAAGGTTCAGCATCATAGCAACCCAAGTTACCTCATATAGCACATTGACAAAGAGTGATGTGCAAAGTGGAAGAATGTTCCTCCAGATATAACGGCACTAGTCTCATTTAGCAGTACCCGCATTTGTTTTGTTGTGTTTTTTTTTTAATTTTTTAAAAATTATTATTTTGTGTGTATCGTCAAATCAGATCTGACTGGTACAGGAGGAGATTGCCCCTCCTTCTCCAGCAGAGCATCTGGTGGATTCGAACCACTCACGTCTGGGATTGCAGTGCAGCTTCTTGCCTCTAGGCCACCAGAGCTCGCCTGTACCCACAATTGTTAAGTGCCGTCAAGTCGTAGACAACTCATAGCAACTCTATGAACAAAAGTCCTCAACACTTGCTTGTGTGACTTTCATCCTTTTTCCAGGTTCATAGAGTTTCTGGAGGCAAGCTATTTATGGAAGTGGATCAAGAAATCAAAAGACGTCTTGCACTTGGAAAATCTGCTATAAAGAATTGCTTTAAAGTGCAAAAGAACAAAAGTGTCTGTTTAAAGGGAAGGTGGGCCTGAGTCAAGCTGTTGTATTTTTAACTGTTTCCTACACCTGTGAAAGTTAGACAACGAATAAGAAAGGCCAGAGAAGAAGACACTTTTGTGTTGATGAGGAGTAGTGAATATATTGAGTATTGAAAATACCATGGACTTTGTCAAAAGAAAAAGAAATCTGTGCTGGAGGAAATGTAGCCAGGGAGCTCATGGAAGTCAAGTGGTGAATTTTTGTCTTACATACTTGTTATGTTGCCAGGAGAGGCTAATCCTTGAAAAAAAGACATCATACTGGGAAAAGCAGAGAGTCAGCAAAGAAAGGAAGACTCTCAATGAGACGGCTGACACAGTGATGTCAGGGTTAGATCTACTGTTCAGAAGGCCACGATGGGTCACGGTCACAGGCCAGAAGATCAGGATTTAAGTTCTGTTGCTGTTATTTTACACAATTGTTTAATTAGGCACATAAAGGTTTATTTAAGTGGTAGAATCTCTCATGATTGTGTTTGAGATCAAAATAATTTCATTCAGAATTTTAATTCCTTTACCTTTTATTTTGGCTCTTTCATATTTGTACATACAACACACAAACAGATCCTAGAGAGGGTTAAACCAGGCTGCTCCTTGGAGGCAAGAATTCTGAGGCTTCATCTGACATACTTTGGACATGTTGTGAGGAGAGACTGGTCCTTGGAGAAGGACATCATGCTTGGTAGGGTGGAAGGACAGTGCAGGAGGGGAAGACCCTCTATGAGGTGGATTGATTCAGTGACTGGGGTAATCGGGATGGGTGTGTCAGAGATGGTGCGATTGGCACAGGACAGAGCAAGGTTTAGGGCTGTTGTACATAGGGTCGCTATGAGTCGCAAACGACTCGATGGCACATAACAACAACAACAACTTTCATATTTGACTGAAATAGGGCAGAGATACTGTATTTCAACTTTGATTTCCCCCAAGGGATTTTTTTTTAAACCCAGAGCTTTGAAATGATATTTAATTAGATGAGATGGGGGGAAAGTATGTTGAATGTATCTGCATTTGGCACTTTATTATTAGACTATGTTATCAAATGCTGTTATTATATTAGCTCTAATGTTCAGTTTTGTATTAGGTGCCATCGAGTTGACTGTATCTCACAGTGACCCTGTGGAAAATGCACTTGAACTTCACCGTGTCCTGGGCCATCCTCAGGATCTGACGTGCTCCAGACCATTCTTCCATTTGCTGTGTCAACTCATCTCCTTGAGGTTCTTCCTCTCTTTCCCTGACCCTCTGCCATTAGCAGCATTTCCCCAAGGGCTGACCCCTCCTGACAACATGTCAAAAGTGTGTGAGACAAGCTTCCACGTGAGTGTAACTCTATGCCCCTGCATGCTGTACCTGCTCCATCCCTCTAACCCAGGATAGGATAGAATGAGAAGAGAAGAGAGGAGGGGAGGGGAGGGGA